CTTTTATTCATATTTTTATCTATAGTTATTTCTGACGGTCCAAATATGTTTAAATGTGAACAGAATCTCACTCCATCTAGAAATTTATCAATCCATTATTTTTTTACTCACTGATTAACTGTATCAGTGAGTAATCTTTGTTTGTGTGTATCCTGCAACCTGTGGACTTTTTTGGTCAAATTGTATGCACAGAAGTAATCGTGAGTTTGCGATTTTATTTGGACTCGATATTTGTTTTTATTTTTGTGTGCATTTAAGCATAAACATACCTAATTGTACAAAAAAACAGGTTTACATCATTGTATCTACAAATCTAGTGTTGCATATACACTGAAAAATGAGTCTAATTCTCTCAATATCTTTAATCATATATATATAATATTCAGTAGAAGGAACGACATTGTTTCATCTAGACATGCATGTCCAGAGTGGCTCCTCAAGGACCACTGGTGTCCTGCAGGTTTTTAGAGGTTTCTTTGCTTGAACACAACTGATTCTGATTATAGCAGTTCAGCAAATTTTCTTAATCAGCTATCAATGAAAATCAGCTGTGCTGAAGCAGAAAAAAACTCAAAAAAACCTGCAGGACAGCGGCCCTCGAGGACCGACTTTGGACGTGCCTGATCTAGAACTATCCACTTTATGCATAAAAGCCACACCTGCGGAACAAACTTAAAATATGTAACAGTAAAACCCTGAGGTCTGTGCAAACAGCTGAGAGCTTGTTTGTCTTCACTTTCTAGTGTGAGGAGTTTAGCGTCATTTCTCCACTGGTTCCATAGCATGCAGAGCTGCAGTGGATGTTTGGGAGCATCTATCCAGTGGAGCCCTGAGGTCTGAGCAAAGAACTTTGTACTTGTTTGATGTCACTGCCTGGTGAAAAAAAGTACAAAGCTTCCACACTTGTACCAGGATCTCTCTGACGCCTTACTGGTTGTGTCTTTTTTTTGTTGTTATTTCTTATCGTTCAATGAAAAGGTGCAAACAGACAGAGAGCGGTTTCTGTGGTGAGGGTGGTGGATTCACATATTATCCCTATGCAAACTGTGGTGAATCCCAAGCGGTGAGGGTGTTCACCGCTCCTCCTTCACCTCGTGTTTAACTAGATAGAGCTGAGGTGTTGTATAACAGCAGCACCGCAAGGAGAGAGTGGAGTGGTGATCTTTGAAGTTGAAATGAGCTGAACAGCACAGCAACCATTAAGGGACTGGAATAAATAGACAGATAATGTAAACAAAGGTAAAAATAAGGAATGCTCTTAAGAGGTTTTAAGGTTGGTTAAAAAAAAAAGCCATTTTAGTTTATTCCTAGAACGACTGTTCTTCATCCTCACCTCCAGCACAGACTGCCCACAGTGTCACTGCCCACTGCACGGCATCAGTGCTTTTTCTGTGCAGGTAGATTTAGAAGGAAGCCCAGCTGAATCCGACTGTCATCCAGATGCTGTGTCTCTTTTCATAGCTTTTTGGCCTTATCCAAAAAATGATGGTCTCTCCAAGGCGATTTAAAAGATGTTCATAGAGAACAATTTAGCAGCGGTTTGTGATAAGTTTTACCTGTGCTTTTGTGAAATGCAGACAGGAAATAACATTGGGTTGCCAGGGGTAACGACAGGTCCAATGAAGGGTCTGAGAGGCAGGAGATTTACTAAATATTAAACAATCATTCCAGCCTTTAAATAAGGTAAACATTCCCACTGTTATATTCATTACCAGCACAGGAATGATGTGATGTCATGCAATAACTTTATATCAGGAGCGAGTGCAGCACTGATGTCTGCTGGGATTGTGGCGTCATGGGATCGTAATTAAAAATAATGCTATCTTAAAAAACAAATAAAGACAAACAATAGTTTTACCTGCAGAAATAAGGTAGCACAGGAAAAGTAGGCTAGATCATTTTGATCCAACTCTGAGCTTAATGGGGGGGATAGTTAAAATAGAATCTTTAATATCTCAGAAACAGCAGCACATGTGATCTTTTTCCTATTTATTTTTTCATTTTTACCATTTTGAATGCACAAACGTGCACTAATGATGCAATAACCCTTCAGTCTATTTGCTGAGTTTGTTCACATCAGTGGGATGTCAGCTTGACACAGCTGAAGCTCCTCCTATTTGATGATGAGGTCAAGGGTTTAAATACTGCATCTGAAGTGCAGGGCGGTGAACTCCCTGCAGGGCTCATGGAAATCACCACCTTCTGTCTGAACCCACCATAAGGGGTTTTTATAATTTTTTTCTTTTTAACTACGCTGTCAAACCAAAGGAGGATTACCAAATTTGTGGACAGTGAAGATTATCATTTTTAGAATGATATATACTGTACCTTGGCAGCAAAGCTCCACATCTCAATGCGATCCTGGAGTCTCTTCTTGCACTCTGGCTGCAGACGAACACGTTTGTCTTGCAGCGTCTCAATCAGACATGACATCTCTGAGAAAGAGACTTGTCTTAAAATCTCATGCAATTACTTTTTAGTAATTGAATTTATGATGATGCAAATGCTCCCCTAATATCTTCAGAATTTCTAGTAAGAGAGATGTCAAAGCCTTACGTCGTCCCCTGCCAGGTGGGATGGCAGCACAGTGGTGTTTGATATCCAGAGCGCAGGCTGTGTGAAGCACGGGATCAACAAAGATGTCCGCCTTGCTCTCCTTCAGCATGTTCAGTACCTCCTGCAAACAAGAGGGACGTTATTTTAAAAAAGCAGTTCAAAAACAATACTACAAAATGATACAGTGAAGTGTAACGTCGTGCATAACACTTATATAGACAGATACTATACGTTGTCAGTGTGGCAGTTTTTACCTTCTTACATGCTTCCTGCTTAATCCTCAAAAGATTGAGTTTAAGGCACTCCTCCACCTGCCCAGTTTGCTCCTGAGCTGCAGCCTCCTCTGGACACAGACTTGAAATCTAATCACACACAAAAACACTGATTAACAAAACCTGTATTTCAAAAACATGACCTCTCGTCTGTTCAGTCAGCAGATCTCACAGGACCGACGCTATTATCTTCCAACAGAAACACTAATAAAAAACAAGTTGACAAGAATGATCGCACCTTAACTTCAACTATTAATGCTTTACAGCTAGGTATTTGAGGGGGTGCATGAGGTTTAATTTTGAGCGTCTATAGCCCCATTTACACTCCACTCTGTAAACCGATCCGTACCGACCTTGGATCAGTTAACCGTGCTTGGTTCCTTACGACAGTTTACACATCACGCTAGTGCGGTTCCTCGCC